AGGGAAGAGAGGGAATGGCAGAGGGATAGTGTTAAGCTGATGAAGAGGATGCCCCCCAGCAAGGGTCGTTGGCCAAAATGGAGTTGGGGGGGCAGGACTCCCAAGGTCAGGGTTTTTTGATGCTTATAGTATTCAGCCTCTAATTTGGAGAGGATTGTAGACCTTCAGCTGTTATCCCATTAGGCTCATAGGAACATAATATTAGAGTTGGAAGGGACCTTAGAAGTAACCCAGCCCAAAGCCCCACCCCCATTTTACTGATGAGAAAACTGAGGTCCAGAGAGAATGACCCAAGTGTATGAGTACTGTGCTGAGAGAGAGAGACAAGGGAAGGAGCTCTGGCCTGGGAGTCCAAGAGGCCTGGGCATTCTGGACTGCCCTGAGTTCATTCCTGGTCCCTGAGGTGGAAGTGTGCCCGCTAGTCCCCAGCCCACCCTTGTCTGTCCTTCCTGGCTGTATCTTCCTCACTGCCTTGAAGTGAGAAGATTACTCAGCTGAGCTCACCAAGAGAAGTCCTCCCCAGCCCCCATCCAAGCCTGTTCCTAACATGACCCCATCTCTGAGGGGGCCCTGGGCTGAGGCAGAGCTGGGGGCCTGGAGGGAGCCTGCTGGGAGCCTCCACTATGTCAACAATTTCCTCCATTCCTCTCCCCCTTTCTACCCCCCTTCCCTCAGCCCCACTCTCTCCAAACCCAGTGGGCCACCCACCCTCCCCCGAGTTCCAGACACATGGAAGGACACCACCTCCGTGGGCTTGGGGCAAAGTTTGAACTCCCCATGATTCATGTACATGTAGATGGAAGTTACATGCAAATGCACCCCAAACTAGCAAGCACATTAGTGCAGATATGTGCACAAGAACTCGCTGTCCTGACCAAGCTCACACACATTTACACACTCACCCATGCACACACAGACATAGCCTGCAGCTCTCCAGCAGCCTTAGGAATGGAATCCAGCAATCATTAACCCCAGACTGGCCCGGGCTCAGCCAGGCAGACACATTCCCTACTCCCCTCACCCCTCCAACCTGAGCAGACCTCCTGCTGGGCCCCTGACCCTTCCCTCCCCTTGCCCTCTACTACCTCCCCACCCAGATCTCAGACCTTGGGCTGGGGGAAGGAGACGGAGAATTCCTCTTTGCTCTCCTATTATTGGTTCCTACCTCGCCTAGGTCTGGCATCTGAGTCTCATCCCCTCAATACGCTGTCCCGTGGGGATGCCCGAGCTCCAAGCTGGGGCCTGAGGTTTTGGAAGGGCTGGATGGGGCTCGGGGACACTGAGGTGGGGGAGATGGCATGGAAACTGTCTGAAATTTGGGGGGGAAGGAACTCGGAAGAAGAGGCTGGGAATGGGAGCTTCTGAAGTTTGGTGGAATGAAGTCGGGCTGGGGGGGGTTCTTAGGCTCAGAGTCGCTCTGGGACATGGAGGTGCTGAGGTTTAATGGAAGGGTGGGGCCTGGGGGGATGGGGACTCATTGAGAAAGGAGGGCCTGAGGATTTCTGATGCTTAAAAGACAGATGGGAGCTCTGCGGCTGGGAACATCGAGGGGCTCAGAGTGGGGGGGGGGGGCCGGGGGGGGGGGGGAAGAGCGTTCTCTGGAGCTTTCGAAGGTCTAATGCAGTGAGGACGGGTCTCGGATGAGAACTGCGAGACCCCAGAGACGGTGATAAAGAGATGGGACTGGCCAAAGCGCAGCAGACACTCCCCTTTCCTCCCTCCCTCCGTCCCTCTCCAGGGCCGCCTGGGTTCTCCAAAAGCCAGTTTCCTGTGCCGGGGGTGGGGGTGGGGGGCGGGGGCTCTCTCCCCTCCCTCCCCCCTCTTCCTTTCCTCCCTACCCCTCCTGGGCCCTCCTCCTTCCTCGGAGGAAACTTTCCGTCCGCTCAGTGTCGGGCCGCGGCTCCAGCGCCCCCAGGACTGCCTAACCCACTGCCGGACGGGGCGGACAGAACTGACAGAACTTCCTCTGTCCCTTTCCCGCCATGGAGGCGCTGGGCAGGTCTGGGGGTGCTCCCTGAGCTGAAGCTGTGGCTGGAGCTGCTGAGCTGCGCCGGTGAGTGAGGAGGATCTGGGGCCCCGGAATCCTGGGTCTCCACTCGGGCCTGAAAGGGCTGGGTCTGCGGGGTGTGCCTACTACCCAGCAGGGAGGGGGTGAGGCGCTATCTTCAACCCAAAAGGATTTCCGGAGGGCAGCCCCTAGCCTAGACTCTTTTTTACTATCCCTCCAACGGGGGAAAAAAAAAAGCCCTCCGACCTCAGATGGCCCCACTATGCCTTCCCCCACCCTAGTCTCCCAAGAAGATGCCTAAAGCTAGCTCCCAATCTTTAAATTACCCCCCTTCCTCAGAGCGCCCAACCACACCCCCCCATGACCCGGGCCTCGTAGACCCTCCCAACAGCCCTTTCCCCCATCCCCCAATTTCAGTCTCAGCCCTGCAGGAGTGATCGAGGAGATATAGGAATTTGGAGGATCTTGCCCTCCCCCCTCCCCACAACCCCCCCAAGGGAAACAAGGAGGAGAGCTGAGACTAGTCTTTCCTTGGTTCAGTCCTCTGTGGAAATGGGGACCCAAGCCGTCTGTCGTCTGGAGCGGGGCAGCCCTGCCTCATAGGGAGAGGCTTCCAGTGTGTACGGAGGGGTTTATACAGAGTGAGGGGAAGGGAATGGGATAAGAATGCCTGGGTTACCCTGGGGTTTTGAAGGGGAGATAGGGTCAGAAAGCCCAGGTTATATCTAAAGTCTGGGAAAGAATTGAGCGTAGGGATTGAGAACCAGGGTTCCGAATTCCCCACCCCCTCTCCTCCCGGTTCAAGAGTAATGCAGGCATCTTGACCCTCAGTCTATTGATTTTACAGACCTATTCGGGGGCCTTCCACCCTCTACCCTCCTCAAAAGAAACATGGAGGCCCGGAAACGGGACATGGAACTGCTCAGCAATAGCCTGGCAGCCTACGCATACGTCCGAGGTGAGTGCTGGATATAATGAGGGCTTAACTCCTAGCCCAACTGCTCATACTTCAGAGCCCCGGATGACCATTTGTAGAATGGCGAGTCTGTTCTTATCGTGAAGCTAGAATTCCTAGATAGCCCCCAAACCTAGATAGTGGATTCTGGAGTCACTGGCTGCCGGGGTGACCCTGGGCCGGTGGAGAGGAGGGGAGAGGGAGGGGACTAGCTCCTTGACTGGCCCATGTCAGATGCGGGACCCCAGTATGACCTTTCCCACCCCTAATTTTTCCAGATCATCCTGAGAGTTTCGGCCTCTACTTTGTTCTGGGCATATGCTTTGGGCTCTTGCTGACCCTTTGCTTGCTGGTCATTCGGATCTCCTGCCGACCCCACCCTAGGCCTTCTGGAAAAGGTCCCCAAAAAATCTCTCGAGGAGACCTCCCGGATGGGGATGAGGACGAGGACGAGGATGAGACGGACACCATGACCCGGCTGGGCCCTGATGATGCTGGGTCAGGCCCAGAACTGACTCCAGAGATGGACAGTCCCCTCAGTGTCAATGTCTTCACCTCTGCGGAGGAACTAGAACGAGCCCAGCGGCTGGAAGAGCGGGAGCGGATCCTTCGGGAAATCTGGCGTACCGGACAGCCCGACCTCCTCGGCACCGGCACCGGCACCGTGGGCAGGGTTCATTATTATTGACAGGCCTCTCCACCTGCTAGGGACTCTGGGGACTGACTTGCAAATGAGCCACCTTTCCCTTAGAGACTAGGGAAGGACTCCCTCCTGCTCCTCCCCCAGGCTTCTTTAGACTGGACCGATTCTCTTCCATGGTGCTAAGGCTGGACTCCCTCTTGGAGAATGAGGCCCTCAATTCCCAAGGAATAGGGACAGGAGGAAGAGGAGTATCTCTGCCCTGGGAGTTTTAAGGAGGTGACCAATGAAAACTGCCTCATCAGCTGTTCACCTCTGTCCTTTTCATGCATGGCCCCCTCCAGAATAGAGGAAAGTTTCAGGGCTGATCTTCAGGTTTCCGGGGACCACACTGGGGTCAGTTCCTAAACTGTTTTCCTTCCCTCTTACTTGAGGAGAGTAGGAACTCAAGTAGCTCCCCAGAGAAGGGGACCCCTGGCCATCCCTTGGTCTCGTGCCAGAGCCTGGACTGAAAGCTGAGCATTGAGAATGCCGCCTCCCTCCCACAGACCTCCCTCCCCTCCCACTCCAAACCCACTCAACAGACCTCCCTTAGAAAAATGTTTTGTTCCTTTTCTACCACGCCCCTATTTCCGCCTTCTTTCCCAGGCTTTGGAAGGACACTGACCTTGAGGGCTTGGCTAAGATTAGCTATATGTAGCATAACTGCCTGCTGTGTAATAGTGTCTTCATTGGGTTTGTGAAATTGTATCTAAAGCCGTGGGGGTAACGTCCTTTCCCCTAAGGGAAAAGGGGTGGTGTGTGTTGTGTGTCTGATGCAGTGATGGTGGTTGTCCGCGCTTCTAAAGAAGCATGGGGCGTCTGGGGTAATGGGGTTATGTTGGGGGCGGGGAGAGGGAAACTGCGAGGATCAGGTTCGCACTGAGGATTGTGGTGGGTTTTTTTGGGGGGGGGTTGTGCCTGAGTTTCTGCAATTCTGTGATGAGGTGGGGGCCTGTCGCATTCAGTGTGAGGAATATGTACTCCTGGGCCTCTCCAGATGTATTCCGGGCTGGGCTTTAGAGACCGGGTTTGGGGGAGGGCCGAGGCAAGCCTAGGCCCCACGAACCCCCTTCGGCCCCCTGGAGGAGGTGGAGCCGCTTCCCACGTGCCAGGCCCGGCCAGCCCCTCTCCAGCCCAGCCACGTCCGGGCGGATAAAAATAGCCCCGCGTCCCTGGAGCTAATAGGAGCCACATGTTCGCCAGATGTGCCCGTAGGCTGAGAAGAGGGGGACAGCAAGACACGCCCACCAGGAGGCCGGAGCCAGCAACGAAAGCCTTGCCCCCTCCCCAACTAATCCCGCCCCTCAGAGGCGCTATTACAAATACAATTTTATTACACTCTGTTTCTGATGGGGGGGGGCAGGGGCGGGGCGGCGTCCGGAATAGGTTTTTTGAGGAGGGGTTAAGAGGACTCCTTGGGGCGGGACGCAAAGAGCCCCGGCCCGTCTCACGCAGAGTTTGGGGCGCCCAGCCACAGCCCCCACACTCTCACCCGCAAAGCCCCGAAGGGGAGAGCGAGGAGGGGGGGGTGTTGCTTGAGGCTCCTCCCGCCCCCGTGGGGAAGGGGCGGGACGGCCCCTCAGGAATGGGGAGGAGGCGAAGCCTGTGTCCGTGGGCAAGGACAAGCCGCCTCCGGCCTGGGCCCTACACCAGATTTGTCTTTGATTTCAGCATCTCGAACTTAGCCTCGGGTAAGGAAAAGAAGAAGAGAGGAAGGCCTCGCCCCCAACAGACCTCACCTTTTTTTTTTTCCCAGACCTCCCCTCCCCTCCCCAACATACTCGACCCCAAAAGATCTAGCCTGCACCACTGCCCAACAGGTCTCTTTCTTCCTCCTCTATGCTCAGGAATCGAGACCCGATTGGATTAACTAATGCCTGCTGGGGTTTTCGATGCCCCCTTTACAGGACTTCTCCCCATTCTGGAATCTCCTTCGCCCTCCTCACCTGCAGTTCCAGTCTCTGCTCCCGTTCAGTTCTCAGCTCCTCCTGGATTTCTGACATGTCCTTTCTGTCGACAACAGCCAAGTTCAACCTCAGCCTTCACTAACCCGTCCCACAACTCTCTGGATCCAGACCAGGAAGGTGCCATCTCATCCCCCTTATTTATAGATGCGAAAACTGAGGCCCAGAGATAATGACTTAATCAAGGAAATATGGCAGAGCTGAGATTCAAACCCAGGTCCATTGACGCCAAATAAGGGGGCCAGGGGAAGGTTTCCCTCCTCACTGAGCAGTCTCTCCCTGCCCCATCTCAGTATCACTCCCACTTCTGCCTCCCCTCCTCGGTCATTCCTCTCTCTTCCCTCTCTCCTCTTGCCCTCCTTCTCACCCTGTCTCTCACAGATACTCACTCCTGCTGTGACATCAGAAGCGCCAACATCTCCCTCAGAGAAGCGACTTCAGTCTCCACCTGATCCATTCGGTCTGTCAAGCCACTCAGAGCGCTATCTGATATCTCTTCCTCCACTGACTGCTCGAAGTCAGCTGCTCCTATGGCTCCCTGAGAGTCTGACAGGGGCTGCTCTGGGAAGGGTGACTTGGCAGGGGATGCTTTTTCAGAAGAGAGTTGGCCTGAAGAGGGTGGTTTGTCCACAGGGAGGGGGTTGACTGAGGGCTTGTTCTTGTCTGTGGAGGTCTGGGTGGAGGTCTTCTTGTCCTTGTCTGTGGATGGGGTCTTGCCTGCGTTCTTGTCAGGGGGGAGGGGCTTCTCCGTGGAGGGGGTTTTGTCCTGACTGGCAGTCTTTTCACTGTGTTTCTTCTCCCGGGAAGGTGCCTTATCCTGGGATGATTTATCCCGAGAAGCAGTTTTATCTGAGGCCTGCTGTTTGGTCTTGAAGGGCTGGCTCTTTGTTAAACTGGGCTTTTCTTCCTCTTGTCCCTGGGAGAAGGGAGGTTAGAAGGGAAGAAAAGGGAAAGCCCCAGTCCCAGAATGGTAAATGCCAATCAGGGGCTTGATGGAGGGGAGTGGGGGGGACTCCATTCTGGGAAAGGTTCAAAGTAGCTAAGTCCTCATCTCCCTAGAACTTCCTCCTGCCACCTGCCACCTTCTACCCACCTGGTGGGCCAGATGTCCACCAGCCATACCCCCTTATGGACCTCCAGGCAATCTCCAGCCCAGCCCTGTCCTCTCTTCAAGGTGGTGGTGGTGGTAGTTGGGGCAATATAGGGGCCTGGGGATCCTCACAGGAGTGGGGGTCTGGTCGAAGCTGGGGGGATATGGACCCTGAGGCTTCCACTGAATATGGCTGGAATGAGCAGTCTTGGAGTCATTTATGCCATTGTTGCTTCTGTCATTGCTTTTGCCTGGCACTGGCAAAGTCAGAGAGATGGTCACTGTGCAAGGAGACAGACAGGGAGATTCACTGGTACCTGGAGAAGTTTAGTCCTCTCTATTACAGTGTCTAAACCTGAACAGTAGCTTCCATTTAGAGAGCAAACCCTCGGGTTTTCCTTGCATTATCTTATTTGGGAGGTAGGGCGGTCTTACAAGTTTTTCCTCTCATCCTTATAGATGAGGAAAGAGAAGAGTTAACTGACTAGTTTGTGGTGACAAGGGGGAGAGGCAAGGGCAGGATTGATGGGATCAGGGAGCCAGAGGGGCCCTCAGAGGACCGTGTGGTCCAACACCACCCCCCTCCATTTTACAAACGATCAAAAAGATGAGGTCCAGAGACTCACAAGCAGCTTGCCGAGGTCACAAAGGTAGGACGAGGTATTTGAGTCTCTGCAATTCCATATCCCACTGCAGCAAACTCTCTCCTCCACACTCCTCCTTCCTTTTCTCCACGGCATCCCACATATGTCCCACGTCCTCCCTTTTACCCACAGCATGTGTCTCTGCCGACTCCATTTCTGTCCCTCATTCTCCCCATCACCCAACCCTGTGCTTTTGTTTCTTTTCCTCTAGTCCTTAGGCTTCCAGTCTGAGGACTCAGTGCCAAACTGAAGTCACTCACAAGAACGCAGGACCTGCTTGGGCTCACCTCCTCCTCCACTTCCATCCGATCCTCCTCGGCCGCCACCACCCCCTCCTCCCCCTCCTCCTCCTCCTCCTCGTTCTCGGGAGCTCTTCAGTTTGTCCCCAGCTGATCCTGCTGCCGGAGGCCTAGAATACACTCAGATCCCTGAGACTTCTTACCTTGCCATCTCTCAAGCCCAGACCCAGTGCCCTTGTTTCTTGGGGTTTCTTGGGGGGAGGGTCGGCTCTTACTGTAGGCTTTTCTCTCAGCCCCTTGGGATAGATACCTGGGGGTAAGGGGCCGAGGCTTGGAGGGCCTGCTAGAGGCTGAGGACAGCTTTTTGATGGGGGGCAGAGTGATTTTAGACTCCATCTTCTTCGACTCCTTAGCAGCTGGGGGAAAAGAAGTAGGGAGAGGAGAGGCCACTAGTTTATCCATCATCCATCCATCCCCCTCTCCCCCATCTCTACATCTCCCGTGATCTGTCATAGTCCCTTGCTCCCCACTCCAAACTCCCCCCAACCCCATTTCCATTTTACCTCTCATTTCTTTGGATGTCTTCCTCCTCCCACTGGACACATGGTTTTCTCGATCAAACACTGATGGGAGGACAGGTGGGAATCACACTAAGAACCCAGAGCCCCTGCTCCTTCCCACCCCTACAGCCAGGTCTGCATAGGGAAATAGGAAAAAAATGGGAGCACACACACCCCAGCAAAGTGGGGCCCTTCTCTTGTTGGGGAGAGGGGAGTGTGTGTATGTGTGTCTTGGGGAGGGACAAGTCATATTCATGGGTGATCAAGAGGCTTTCTGGAGCTTCCCGCGTACTGTTTCAGAACCCAGAGTAACAAGAAGGAAAGTGGGTAGGTAGGCACTTCTCCTCTTCAGAGAGATCACTACCTGATTCCTGGGGACTCCGCCGCCGGACTGGGAGCTTCTTAATCTAAGAAAAAAAGTGTTGGGGGTGTGGTAGGATTAGAGGCCCAGTTATATCTTCCCACAGAGATGGAGTGAGGAAGGGTATGTATGATTAGGAAAAGACTCCGAACTTACCAGGGGCAGCAAGAGAACAAAATTGTCTGGAAAAACTCCTCTTTTGCCTTCAAATTCCCCCTCCCACCAGCCAGGGTCCTCTGTGGTCTAGAAGATTGGGTAGATAGTGGAGGTGCTGTGGTCTTCCATACCCAGGTTTCCTCACCCTAGGCTCAATCTGCTCCAGCATCCATTCACTCCCAACTCCCTCCTCACCTTTCTTTCCTTTTTAAAAATTTAATTAATTAATTAACTCATTTTTCTCACCTTTCTTAACACCTTCACCACAGTACCCCTCTGCAGGGCCAGCTCATCGGGTGCCTCAGGTTCATAGTCAAACAGAACTCGACAGCTCTCAGTTGCTGGGTCAGTGGTGGGTGAGGGTGTCAATCACAGGCCTGGGAGCTCCCTTCTCTTGGGCCCCTCCCTCCCACCTATGGTCAAGGCTGATTGGAGGCAGACTATG